TTCCGTCTGCCTTAATATGACAATATTTTGCACACCAAGCCTCCTCCTAATGCTTCCCGCTATTATGGTGTCTCTCCAAAGGTTCCAGAGTCATGCCCTAAGTAATAATTTCTGAATACGAAAGGGAGTTTATAGTTGAACAGACACAGCTGCAGGCACACAATATGAACAGAAACTTCCCATTTTCCAAGTGAAGATCTCAGGGTCTTTTTATACAGATGCTGTTCTTTGACTTTGACAAAGTTGACTTTTATACTCGGTTTTAGATACTCCATTACGAGACAGTTTATTGCAAGGCATGGTAGCTCTAAGTGCCATGTATATTTCTCCAAGACTTGAAAAAGATGAATAATAGGCTGGTAGTTGGGTTTCCAAAGTCTACATGCATAATAAAATAAAACAAGTAGTCTTTAATCTAAAATATGATGTGGGGTAACCAGGTGTAGAAGCCATCCTCTGGGTCACCTTTAGATTCTTCTGTAGTGGCCTTGCAGTGTTGTGGTTAAGAGCAGTGTCCTGCGAGCTCCACAACTGGGGTCGTTGGCAATGGTTTTTAACCTGAGCCTCTGTTTCCTTATGTTTAAGATGGGGATGCTGATAATCCCCTTGCTTTCTAGGATTGTGAGGATTAAGTGGACCCAGAGTGGGAGTGTTCCTAGGACTCATGACCCTCAGCAGGTGGCTCCAGTGGGAGTCACTGTGAGTTTTAGGCCTGCAGAGGCTCTTCTTGCTTGATTTGTTTCTTTTAGTTTCTTGGCTTTTCCTCTCTTACCTGTGTATATTTCTAGGATTAGGGAATCCAAATTTACTGAAAATGTAAAAAGGAACAATAAGCAAAAAAAAAAAAAAAAAAAAGAGGCATCACTCAACTTCTTACCTTTCACCAGTCAAGTTATATGTCTACATGCTCTTACCCAAATGTGCCCTTCTAAAACGTCCCAGTGGAAGACTGATAATTTGAAAATTTCAGATTTCACGAAATTTCCAAAACTTCTTAAATCCTTACATATACTAAAAATATGTTTTGGTAAAAGCCAGTGGAATAAGCTTAAAATTAGAATATTAGTTTAATTCTTGTCATAGTCTTTCTTTCTTACCATTGTTGTGAACATCGCTCTTTTGATGACCATATTCAAGCTTCCAAGTTACCTCATGCACTTTGTCTTTCCATGGTCTCTATTCTGCCATGGGCATTTATAGTTCAAGGTTAGGGTGCCTACCTCCCAGACTCAAGACTTCTTATCTCCCCCTATCCTCCTGCTGCTTTATTTTACCTTTTTTTTTTTTTTTAATAGAATTTATTTTTTAGGGCAGTTTTAGATTTGCAGAAAACTTGAGAGGATGGTACAGAGAGTTCCCATAAATGTTGCCCCCAATTTCCCCTATTATTTCTTTTTTAAGATTTAATTTATTTGTCAGAGAGAGAGAGAGAGCACAAGCAGGAGGAGTACAAGCAGGGATGCCCAATGCAGGGCTCCATCCTAGGACCCTGGGATCATGACCTGAGCAGAAGGCAGATGCTTAATGGACTAAGCCACCCAGGCACCCCCAGTTTCCCCTATTATTGACATCTTACATTATTGTGGTACATTTTTTCCAACTAATGAACAATCATTGACACATTATTATGAACTGAGGTCCATGTTTTAGTCAGATATCCTTAATTTTTACCCAATGTTATTTTGCTGTTCTGGGATATCTTCTAGAACACCATGTTACATTTAGATGTGTCTTCTTATGCTCTTTTGGGCTGTGAAAATTAAAGCTGCCTTTTTAGAACAATTATTTTGTATCACTATTGTGATCATGAAATGGATTTCATAGGTAATAACTACACACGAAAACATTAATATAATGACCTAATTATAATAAAGTGGGGGTAAAAGTAAAGCCAAAAATACCTAGTATATATTTGCTTTTATAAATGCTTAGATAGATTTGCCTCAGAAGTCAAAAAGAAGTGATCAGGTGTAGAAGTTTATAATGTAAGAGAAGACCAGACTCGGGAATGTTATAGACTCTTTATTTTTGACATTTTGAAATAAGAGCTAAATAAGAATCCTCATATACACATATGGAATTACGGGGTCTGGGGCAGTTATACATTCGACAGGGAAAGATGTGTTGATTGCTGACTCAGATGCCATGAATGGAACTGGCTTCAGTGTCCTGATTTTCCACAGCAGTGAACAAAGAGCCATCTATCCTGGACTTTGTGGTTGCATTTACAGAAAACTCAGTGTGGTGCAAAATATTTTGTGTTTACATGTAAAACAGAGTTAGGATTCTAATATAATTAGGAGCACATTTTAATTAACCCAGATGACCAGCCTGACATATAAAAGCCATGTGGGACACAAACAGTCTTCATTGTGCAGCAAATTTCTGCGCAGGGCAGGACCTCCATATCCCTGACCCTCCCCCACTAAATGCCAGTGGCCCAGCTTTTCCCATCCCTGGGATAACAAATTAAAGCACCTGCAAGTTCCAAAATATCCCCTAGGGGGCGGTACCACGGTGGGCTGCGGTGCTAGAGTTTAAATCCGAGACTTACCTTGATTTCTTCCTTTGTGAAATGAGGATAGTCTTTGTTGAGTAACAAAGACAATGCATGTAAAAGTTAGCAAGGTGCTTGGCACATAGTATGTCCTCCAAGAATGGAAGCTAATGTTACCTCCCAGTCAATCGGCAGAGATTGTTTGGGGGAAAGCCTTGTCCTTGGTATCCAGATAGATGTGGATGAGTGAAAACGGGCATCACACAAGCACCACAGTCCTTGCCTCATGAAATGAGCCGTGAATTATTGAACAGTTATAGTTCACAAAAAAAGAGTGCCCAGAAGGAGCTGGAGTCAGAGAAATCTTTCTGGAGGAGACAAGAATGGCTTACTGAACGAGGGCAGCTGGAACTTGAAGGAAAATGTATTTATTTCATGAATAATAAATAACTCCTAGATTCTTACTTCTTCATGTGTGGTCTTCAGATCAGCAACTCAGCAGCACCTGGAGGCTTGTAAGAAATCTCAGCCTCTATTTCAGACCTACTGAGTTAGAATCTGCATTTTAACAAGAATCCCGGGTGTGCATCTGCATATTCACATTTCAGATGTGCTGGAGTAGAGAATTGGTCGAGGTACCAGAGGAAAGAACAATGACTCTTGCTCCTTTGAGAGAACCACAAACCTTGGGTGTGGGGAAGATAGAAAGACAGACAGAGCACGGGTGTGTGGATGTATGCAGGGGCAGAGCTAGACAGTCCACATTGTAGAGGTCAGTTAGGTAGTGAGAATTACAAATGTGCTCCCGGAACAACCTACATCAAAATATGTATGTGTGTGTGATATTCAAATGCAGATTCCTAGCCAGACACCAAAATCTACTGAATTAGGTTCTTGAAGAGCTGTAAATAATTAGCATTTAAACAATAACTTCCCAAATGATTCTTAGAATAGGAAGGGAGCTTAAAAAAAATATCCAAACCAAGTTCCCAGACCAGAACAATTTAATCATGTATGATATCAAATTTCTAGCAGGGGCAGAGCCCTGGGTATTTCTTGTCCTAAAGGTCCCCAGGTCATTCTAATGTTTGAGCCATTGACAGAGGAATCAACTGGGATAACGTGGAGGAAAAAAGTCTGGGTGAGAGAGAGCAACCGGGTAGGGTAAGGGGTCTGCAATATCTGAAGGATGTCTACGACTATCTTCGTCCGAGGACAGAAACAGGACCGGTAGGTAGAAATTTTCGTTGTTTTATTCAAATAATTGTAGCAATTTTCCTTCTCTTCATTTTTTTCCTCCCCGCCCCCCCTTTCTCCCATTTTCCCTAGCAAGAACGAGCATTTAAAATGATCTAGCCCTCCAGCTCTGAGTTTGTAATTAAAGAAATTAGGATCAGAAAGGTAAAGTGAGTTGGCCAAGGTGACCGAAGATCTCATCCCTATCCAACAACGCAAAATAAAATGAGATCTTCTGCCCATTATTAGTGTCCATGGCACCCTAAAGGCATTTAAATTGGACTCTGAATTTGGTGGTAGGCAAAGTGAGAATGAAAAAGGAAGTAGTTACTCTTCAAAAAAGGGTGCTCCAATAGAGTAGGCAGGCTTTAAGCGAGGAACTGGTATTTTAAGGTCTCATTAAATTTGAAGACTGATAGCCGTCTAAAGATGAAATCTAAACTGTGGAGTTTGGATGTTGATACCGTTAAAGTCAAGCTTAGTCTGATAAAAGGCCGGTTCTCCCGCTTCTGCACATCCTGGAGCTCCGAGAGAGCGGGCGTGGGCCCTGGCGTGAACTAGGTGATTGTCTCTCTGCCCGACTAGCTCCGCGCGGTCAAAGCAGGGAAAGTCGGCTGCTCTGGGACAGCCAGGGGAAGCTTCTCGTAGGAGTCAGGCTTCCATCCGAGTCCTGAGGAAGCGTCAACATTTGGATACTCAGAGGGCAAGTAGCGAGCTGGCTGGGGAGTAGCCGGGACAAAGGGCCAGGGAGAGTCGCAATGGGGGAACCTTGGCGTCCAAACATCTAGAGCTACCAGTGGTTCCAAGGTTACCCGGTCCCCTTAAGTCGGTGCTAGAGAGAAATATTAGGAGGGGAATGAATCAAAGCCTAGAAGGCCGGAGCCGGGCGGTCTTGGCGACAGGTGAACCTCGTTTTCCCGGGATAGGAGGTGAGGCTGGTAGCCCAGCTGGAGACCCCGCACCGCCTCTGAAGCCCACGCAGCTCCAGGAGAAAGATGTCAAATTAGGGCGCTGCCCGCTCTCTCCCGCCGGAGCGCGGCCACTGCCTTCCCGGACGGCAGAAATCCGGTCCGAGCGCGTCCCGCAGCGCGGGTGGGGCAGGTCTCCAGTCACACCCTCGTCAGGCCGCCGGCAGTTCCCGCGAGCCTCCGGGCGTCTGGCTGGCCGATTCCCTCCCTACCTCCCCACCCGCCTCCTAGAGCGGGCGCGGGCGCCGGGGCCTCGGGGCGGGTCCCTGCCGCCGGCACCTGCCCCCGTGGGCGGAGCGCGGCGGCGACAGTGCGGCCCAAGCCTCTGCCTCCTGCCGCGCGAGCCGTGCGGCTCCTCGACACCCCCGCCCAGCTTGCTGCCGGCGCACCTCAGCTCCTCGGCACCCTCCCTCTCCCTCCCTCCCTCCTCAGCGGTCCGTCCGTCCCTCTGCCCGCTCCGAGCCGCGGCGCCTCGCACTTCTGACTCAAGTCTTCGCCGCGCTCGTCGCCGCCGCCCGGAACCGCCGCCCCGCGCCATGGAGCCGGCCGCGGGCAGCGAGCGCCGCAGCCCCTCGGGCCCCGCGGTCCCGGCGCCGCCCCGGGGCCACGCGCCCTTGGCCGCCGCCCCCGGCCCGGGCCCGCAGAGCAACCCAGCTCGCGAGCCACCCAAGCCCGAAGAGGAGCGGCAGCTGCGGATCAGCGAGAGCGGCCAGTTCAGCGACGGGCTGGAGGATCGAGGTGAGCGCACGCCGCCCGGCAGCCTCCCCGGCGCGGCCCCTTCCCCCGGCCGGCTGGCGCGGTGAGGAGCCGCTGCTCCCCGCCCGCCTCTACCCATTCTCAGGTTGGCGGGGCGCGGGGCTCAGCGTCTCGGGGCGCTCGGGGGCGCGGGGCCGGGACTTACCCCGCGAGGGCGCCGAGAGCCTCCTGAAGTCGGCGCCGCCTGGGCAGCCGCTCCTTCCCGGGAGCGCGAGAGCCGGGCCGCCTCCGGACAGACCTCGCACCGGCCCGTGCTCTCCTCTTGGCTAGCTCCGGCCCTCCAGCGCCCAGTGGAAAAGTTTGCGGGAGGCGTTTTTTTGCTTTTGGAGCCCAGTGCTCCCGGGGGAGTGCCGGCCCTGCTCAGCTAGGAGGGACCTGAGCTCAGTGCGTCCTCTTTCCAAGTCCTCTCCGACCCCCGGCGGCCGGCTCCCCGGGAGAACTTCCTTCTGCGGGTTTAGCCTCGCGGTGGGTGGTCGGCTCCGCGAGGGAAGACCGGTGGCCCCCGACTCTCACTCATAGGGCACCTAGTTTACCATAGGTCACTGCCCTGCTGTTTGGTGATGGCGGGCAGAGGACTGGGGCAGTCGAGTTTGGACCACCAACCTCCTCTGAATGGATGCCACCGAAACCTGGTGGTTCCCTGCACACGTCTCCAGCCCCTTCAGAATCCCCCCAAGACACTGGTCTGGAACCCCGCAAACGTCCCTTTCCTGGGAGGCCAACCCCCTACCTTCCAACACACAGACGATAACCCCCTTTGAGATGCCTGCAAGAAACGGGAGAGACTCGGTTGTTCATTCTCGTGCCTCTCTCCTCCTACATCCCTCTTTCCCTCCCTGCCTCGTTTCCTTTTGGCTTGCAGGGATCCGTGTTCTTGGCCACATCCATACATTTTCTGCTGTTTTCTGAATCTAAATTCAGATCGGCCCCCTCAAAAAGACTCCGTGTTTGGGCTAAAGCCCCTTAGTGGCCGAAGCGGGATTCTTGCAGCCAGGCCCTTCATAGGGAGCCGGCTCATCGCCACTCCACCCCCTTTTCTTGGAAGCCTTATTTTGTTGGCTGTGGCGGATTTTTATATTTCAGTCTTAGCAGGTTTTCAGTCCTATTCTTAGTATCTCCTGTACATTTTTATTCCGGTTTAGCGTTCGGATGCACGATCTCTTTCCTCATAGAAATTTTAAACTGTAGCATGTGAAATAGAATGACATGGAAACAGCAATCCTGGAGACTCTGCAGGGATTGCTCAGGGGGGGAACTGGAGCTCCTCCAGTTGCAACGAGTTCTGCACCTATGTTGCAGTTTCTCCTTCTGTTCCAACAGAACTAGATACTGTTACAGAGCTGATGATGGGTGGCATCGCAAGCACCCCCACGGAATCCATCACTTTTATTCTAGGTCATGTGAATTACCTTTTCCTCTGCAACTAATACTGTAGGACTTCAGAATTTTGTATTGAAGAAAGACCGAACTCTGGGCTGAGCTTATTTTTGTAGCATTGCAGGTCATTTGTCAAAGCTGGCCTATTTCTTCTCACCCCACAAAAGGACAGGAGGGGAGAAAGTGCTAGGGGGAGTTAATATTTAGCATCATTTTGTAGCTTCATGCTCAAGTGTAAAAAGCCCTTCTGAATTAATTCTTAGGGTCATTTTTCATTGGTCAACTGAATTTCATTTTCCATTATATGATAGCATGAAAGCATTCACTGTTCATGAACTATCCCTGTGTGAAAGCATCGCATATCACACACAGCCTCTCTGTTAGCGTGAACCCTGTCCTCCAAAGAACCCAGCGCCGTGTGGTATTGAAAGCTGAAAGTCAGCGTGACATTCTTTTGTTTGACCTATTGCTGACAGCAAAGAGTTAATGATGAATGGATCATTTTTGTTAAATAGATCAGATTACCTGGGGAGGTTTATTACAATATTTTGTGTTTGTGCTGTTTTTTTCTTATGGGGCTGCATCTTTCCCATATTGATTTTTGAATCCCTTGGGAACAGTTTGATTGCAGCTACCTTTTTCCTAATGGTGAGAGGATTTGGGGAGGAAGAAGCTAAAACAGTTGCCTGATCTGCATCTCTCCATCATGCCTGGCTTGCCTTTTTTCTAGGCCTCAATACCTATAGCGTGTGTGTGGGGGGTCGGTGCCCTGGATGTGTGTCTATATTTGGCCTTCTTTTTTGTCCTCACTTCCTTTTGAGCTATTAGAGCTGGTTACGGACTGCGTCTAACTCCCATCAAATGCTTGCCTTATCATGTAGTGTTTTAGGACTTTAGAGGTATTTTCCCCTTAGAAGTGATGGGGGCTGCTTCCTAGAAACCTAACTAGCTGATAGTGCAGTGCCATTTGGCTGAACCTTGTAGTCAGGGAGCAGGAGTCCTGTGGTCTGAGACTTTCAGGGATTAACACCCACAAAATAGGCCAAGTTTGTCTTGGGTGTTTCCACCTCTTCCCTCTTAATATCCATCCTCTCTTCTCTACACAGGTGTTTTCCCATCATTCTGCCCCAAGCCCCAAGTTGACTTAGAGTGTTACATGCTTCTGCATTTCTTGCTACCAACCTACCTAATGAATATTTCCCTTCCTTCAGAAGATCCAAGTGTGGAGATTAGGAGAAAGCAATTTGAACTAATTCATACTAGAATGGAAATGATGGATGGCTTCAACTTAACGGCATATATTTGCATTTCTCCTCTACCCAAACAATGAGTTATCAGTCTTTCATTCATACAACCCTTATGCTTATTAATGTTAGGCCCAGATTACAAATAGATGGAATTGGAGTGAAATTAGAAATCTGAATGTGGAGGCCAACTATGTTGAGAAAGGGACAGAGCCCTACATGCAAATGTGCAGCCTTCCTTAGCTTCTCTGGGCTGGGCTACCTTCTACTTCTGAAGCACAGCTTCCTGAAAACTTGAGGGCTTTTCATCATTGCTTGTGGGTGTGCGTGCAGCCCCATGTGGAGGCCGAGGTAGAGGCACCTGTATGTGGACCATTCATTTATGGGTCTTTGTAGGTTGTCATACTCCCTTTTGAGGAGGAGATCTTTTCCATTCTCAGTATCAGCTGTACTTTTAGGAAGGAAAACCAGTAGGAAATAAGCAAAGGCTGGACCTATATGGGAAAGTTCCTGCCTTCTTGGATGGTCTTTGCATTACATTTACTCTAGTTTTTTAAATTCAAAACCTCCTATGGGGGAGACATACACACACTCCATCAGATGTGGGTAAGAACCACCAGTCCTGCTGCTTAGAGGACTCAGGTATCCTGTTAGCAGGGCAGTCCAGCATATGCGAGTGGACACCCCAAACTCCTTCCTGAGTGTGCTGGTCCACTGTGGGGTGAGGCACGCAGTGGTCTGTGTGGTCAGGACCATATTGCTATAACCGGTTGGCTTTGGAAGGAAAAATAATTGTTATGTGGTGGAATGAAAGACCCAGATCATTGTCCTTTCTAGTGGAAAATGAAATCTGCTTTTGAAAGGAACCTTGTTTTTTACCCCCAGTGGATAAACCTCTTGCGATTGTTGGTGTCAAAATACGCAGCAAATGAGCTGCTTATTTGAGTCAGTACTGATGTGTTACAGCTTCACTTCTGAAAATCATTGGCCAGAATGAAAAGGAAGATTTTTATATCATTTGGGAAAAAGGAAACAAATGATTGGGAGAGTGTAGACCTGCTCCTTCTAGGTTGGCTTAAACAAGAGATAAGGGTGATTGTCATTGAAAATTAGAATGGGGTGTTGTTTGGTGGCTAGGGAAAAAGTAGACAAAGGGATAAAAACAGGCTTGTGAAGGGATTTTAATTTGAAATCATGTGTGCTGAAGGCAGAATTTGAGGAGAGAAGGTTTATCTTTTTTCATCCAAGTGCATTTATTAAGGAAGGTTTGGGGAGATTTTTAGTGAGGTGATGGAGAGGTGTTTAGACCTACCTTTTGCACTCTGCTCTATATTCTGATCCCATGCAAATCTACAGGTTTTGATTATTTAAAAATCTCTGGGCCATAGACTGGGTTCGCTAAGCACCTTCCTGGAAGTTTCCTCTTGCTTCCTTGAGGACTTGTTGAGGTCGCTTGGATCTGGGTAGTGAATGAAATGGAGAAGTTTTACCAGGGTCTTTTATAATTTTGGAAGAGGATGTAGTTTTCAGGCCAGAGGCTGAGCAAGGTGCCCAGCTGGTTAAGTGGGATGGTGTCTTTTACACGATGCGCCAGCTGTGAGATGTTGCAAGCTGTGTGGTGTTTTACCAGTGGGTGCCTGAGCTTGGACTACCAGTTTCTTCACCATATGGAGCTGTCATGATGAAGCTGCTCCACCCCTGAAAGGTATGTCCTGGGCTGTTTAGCTCAAGGTGGTGTCACAAGCTCCTGTCAATGGAGAATGCATGAGAATTTGGTCTTTGGTGCAACGAAGAGACGCTGTCTATGATCTGTTTTCGAAGGAGAAGAAAAAAATAGAAATCGGGGTCGTGCTGAAGATGTTTTGACCCTCCACCCAAAGCAATTGGAGCTTGGGCATCGCCTCTAAGACCTCATGAATTTCAGTTGGTGCCAGGGACCCTTAGTGTTGAAAGCATCAGAGACAAAAATCAAACCTTCCTCACACAGGGCCAGCCCAGAAAGCTGTGCCCAGTTTGAGTAGGTTTACCTGACTTGAACAGTCTGAGAACTGTTTGCCTCATGAGTGGTATAGAGCAATACATACTACAGAGCAGAAAGGCGGGAAGAAAACAGGGCCTATAAGGGAGGTCTGGTGGCTATTGTTGGTTGCGATTGAAGAGAAGTCCTTCTCTTTCTGTTAATTGTTGAGGAGGGCAATGAGGCTGTTTGCTTTCAGGGACTCATGCTTTGGGCGAAGGCTCTTTCACCAATTTGTGGGCACTGCCTGTGGGATCAGTGCAGATCAGTGCCTGTGGCTGAGGAGCCCACAGACCCGGCTCAATGTGGGCTCATTGTGCTGTTTTCCTAATGGAAGGGGCTTGCTAGAGCAAGACCTACATAGCTGACTACATGCTGGGGCAGGGGCTCACGGGTCCAGGTCCAGTGAGTAGGTCTATGGGGTCTTTCTAGAGAGGATGACTGCTGTTAGCCTGCAGGCTTACTTGCCCATGTTGCTAGAGCCTGAGATTTGGCAAGAGATGCCAGAAAGCCTGATTTCCAAGTGAACCCTCCTAATTGTTAAAACAGTGTGGGCCAAACAAAACACATCTTGGCCCACGGGCTGTCAGTTTGCAGTCCTTGGATAAGAACGTGTAGCTCTGGCTGTGGGTTTCTTAATAAGGAAATGTCTAACTTCTTTTTCCCCTTGTTTTTGTCAGGCTTACTAGAAAGCAGCACTCGCCTGAAGCCTCATGAGGCCCAGAACTACAGAAAGAAGGCGTTGTGGGTCTCCTGGTTCTCCATTATTGTCACCCTGGCCCTGGCAGTGGCTGCCTTCAGTAAGTATGCGGAGTCCTGCTGCTCGATACGGGCTGCTGTTGTCTGGTTTATTCTCTCACTCCTGTACAATCCGCTTTTGCTTTCAGTTGACTATTATTGATGGGAAAATTTTTTTTAGATGATGGGAGAGCCAGAATACTTATAAATTAGTAAAATGGCTTCTCTCCTCTGCAGAGGGAAGAGGTGGGTTAAGAAGAAACGAAGAGGGATCCTGGGAGCTTTGGCTCTCATCAGTATGCGGGTCTGTGGAGGGAGATTCTGGCTGCTAGTTGAATAGGGAAAATATTCTCTTGGTAGATGCCTTCAGCTTGGGCTGACATGTGACAAATCTATATCCTTGAGATTTGCATTTTGAGCTTAATGCAACCAGATGAGTGCAATATTGCAGTACATGCTCCCCTCCCCCCCGCCCCGCCCCCTCCTATGATGGCTGTGTAAGGTTTGGATGCAAATCATGTGCACATTTTAATGAAAGAGGAATGGGAGGGTCCTCTGTCGAGTTTTCAGTGACAAGGGAAACAAAAATATGTATTACAATCAAGTAAAGCTAAGATAACCGAACACTTTGTGCCTACGGGGATAATCTATTTGCTGTTTATGGATAATCCTATTTAGGTTTTAGGAAGCCCTCTGACATGCATTTTCTCAGCTAACATTTGCAGCCTAAAGAAATGTGCATATGCTATTTATTCTTATTAATCGCAAGATGGTTTCTAAGCTTAAGCGAGGACATTAAGCCACATCTCAACCTCGGTAGAAACCATAGTGGGTTTTTTTTTCCTTTTTTCTTTTTTCTTTTTTTTTTATGCTGGGGTAAAGAGGAATGTATTTGGGGCATTTTGTGATTAATTTTTTACTTTGCCAGAAAGATCCATATTCTTAGTGATAAGTATCATGCCAGATGTCTCATGTGGCATCCCACATGCCACAGGGACAAGAAAGGGCTGTCTGCTAGAAGATACTACTCCGTGTGTGTTGAAAATTCTATTCTGCGCAGTTAGACCTGCTGCTGGAAGTTGGTATTGGCTCCCAAGAGGGAATATTAGAATTTGACCAAATGCTCCCTGCAAAACTAGGCATATATTACTTGGCAAAATTTATATTGGAAACACTGTGCTATATTGTGGCTCTAGAAAAAAGCCAAACATTTAGAAGTAGATGGTAATACATTCCAGAGTATAAACATTTACCAGTGAGCCAGAAATCTAATCAAGAGAATTCTGATTCCTGAAAATAGCTCTTCCTGCCTCTTGCCTCCTTTTCTTCAGCTGAAACAAGAATAACGAATCTGATTGCTGTCCCTGGAGGGTAATTCAGTTGTGGTGGCTGGTGGTGGGCCCTGGATCAGACACCGTCATTAACATATGTAAAGAAAGAGGAATGGAATGAGGGGTGGTGATTTACCAACTGAATAATAGTTACTCAGACGTGTCCTCGTGCCTGATAGAGCTGTTTTGATTTTATCATGTGGGTGTTTGAATGAGGACACAAATGTGAAGAAATACGGAACAAATCTTTCCTTTGAGAGAATAAGTCTACATTTGACGTACTTAATCTCATAATAGGGAAAAATTAGGAGGAAATGTTGGTTTCATATGTTATGCTTGATCAGTTGGGTTATTTTGAAAATTTCGTTCTGTTTCCTTTAATAGGAAAAGCCTGTTGCATAATGCATATGGAATTAGAATGTTTTCTTTCTTTTAAAATGATTTTACACCTCTAGTGAGTATTTGATTTAAATCCTCTAAATTCTTGCCTATAGAATGTTGGCGTTGGCCTATAATATCATGATTTGTGTTACTTTCTGTAATACAATTTGTTCCCAAGTTGGTTTCAAGTTAAACCAAAAAAATGTAGAAGAGTTCTGTTTTCCCCTACTTTAACTATGGAGTAGCTTTTGTTTGTATTTTTTTTTTTTTAAGATTTTATTTATTTGACAGAGAGATAACAAGTAGGCAGAGAGGCAGTCAGAGAGAGAGAGGAGGAAGCAGGTTCCCTACTGAGCAGAGAGCTCAATGCAGGACTTGATCTCAGGACCCTGAGATCATGACCTGAGTGGAAGGCAGAGACTTAACCCACTGAGCCACCCAGGCGCCCTGTATTTTATGTTTTAAACCTTTGTGGTGGTCTCTGGTTGTGTTGTTTAGGGTTGTCCTGTTTACCCTTTAGGTTCCTAAATGCATTTGTAATATGAACTGTTTAAAACCCTTTTTAAAGTGTCATTTACATATTGGCAGACTTTTGTGCAATCTTTTTCATAGTTTTTTTTTTTTTTTCAAGATTTTATTTATTTATTTGACAGAGATTACAGGTAGGCAGAGAGGCAGGCAGAGAGAGAGGGGAAAGCAGGTTCCCTGCTGAGCAGAGAGCCCGATGTGGGGCTTGATCCCAGGACCCTGGGACCATGACCTGAGCCGAAGGCAGAGGCTTTAACCCACTGAGCCACCCAGGCGCCCCTTCTTTTTCATAGTTTTAAATGGAAAGAGAAATAAGGATTAGGTAGTATAAGCTGACTTTGAAATTAGGTTTAAATTAGTATCTAAAGGAAAATGGTATGCGTTTGAAATGGCAATAAATATGTTTTAAAAAAAATTGTCACAAGGATCCCCCAGGGGGAGATCTTCAGGGAGGTGGTTGATAGAGGTGTGGGGTGAAATAGGATAGGCTGGCTTGATGAACCCCTGTGCCATCCAACAAAATGGTCAGGTTGGACCAGTTGGTCTTTTTAAAGAGAATTGCTGTTGAATGACTACCTGTGATGCTCTGAGATAGCAGAGAGGTCTCTATACTGTGTGTGTGTGTGCGCGCGTGTGTTGGCGGAGGCTGATAATCATCGTGATTAGAAGATCATATTGATCATTTCATCTTGCCACTGCTGGATGGTAAACTCTGCAGGGAAGGAGGAGCATCCATCCTTGCATGGAATCAGTATGCGACATTGTTGAATGAATGAACGGAGAGATTTTTAAAAATCAATCTTTCTTTCCTTCTTTCTTTCTTATTAGATGGAAGGAAAATATTTATTAGAAAAAGATAAATTTGATCTAAAGGATTATTTAGATACCAGGCTTCGAGCTCATGTATATTTACAGACAACTGAAGAACTTTTGAGACAATCTGATCATCCTTATGGCCATTCTGTCGCTAAGGGCAGCGACTTGGAGCTGTACCTGCTGGGGTCTGGTGGAATTCCTGTCTTCATCTCACCTGCCATTTTCTCTTTTATCATGGATGCTGGTTTTTGCTGAACGTCTTCTGAAAAAAAAAAAAAAAATGCTGTTGTCTTTTTTTGTGTGTGTTTGGAAATGAGGGTGATGGATTATGTAAGTTTTAGGGATGCCACTTTTCTCAGTCAACTGGAAAAGTTCATGTTCTTTACATAGGATGTACGTTGCAAATAAAGACTGTCACCCTTCCACCTTCTGTAAACTTCTAGGTAATCAGGTATGCTGTGTTTTCTCAGATTAGTAATTCTTAAGAGACACAATGACAAAACTAGCTTTGGTCAGTATAACTGAGTTGACTGTGATAAACCAATTGTGTATATAACTCTGGTTGACAGTCACACATCTGGTATAGTCTGAAAAGTTAAGTGAACTTTCAAGATTGTGACTTGAAGGCGTTTTGGAAAGAATGTGTGCTTTGAAAGAGGTATAAACCATTTCTGATAATCCTTGGTAATATAGAGATTTTGGACCTGCTAAAAATGCTGATATAAAAGCAGATGGTAATACATCTTGAATATTGCAGAGAGAGCCCTAGTTTGGTTTTAAAATTGGTTCTGTTTATAATCGGTAGGCAGCATAGAAAATGGCAATCATGTTATGAACAAACCTTTGAAAAAGTCTATTTTAATACATCTAGAAAGAGAACAGAAATTCTGTTTCAAAACTCAGGGGTTTTGACATTATTAATGTCTTCGCTAGAATGATTTAAGAAAATGCATTCTTTTTTGAGGTGTGAATGAGTGCAGGTTAATTTTTAGTCACTCAATACAGGTTCTTTGGGAAATGAAGATATATTTGAAATATACTCAGGGGACAGAAAACCTTTCTTAAGATACATAGCTCCATTAAATAAAAAAGTACTCCAAACTAAGATCTCAGAAAAAGCTCATTCAAAAATTTAGTGAATCAATAGATTTAAGAATTAGAAAATTTTTTTGAAAAGGGTGATTTTCTTTTTGAATATGGTGATTTTAAAAAGAATATATTTGATTTTAGCATAAACTCTTGTCCCTTAAAAATGATAAAATATATATAGTTCTTTTTATTTTAAAATTGTGAGGCCAGGTGTTGAGAACTGGATAAAATGAAATCACACCCATCTTCTGTAAGCTTGATAGTGTGTGTGTGAGAAATTTTTTAGGTAGTCTCTCAATTTTGGCATATTGTGAGATGGGAGGGTTGACGTCCTCTGGTGGTTTCTGGTGCCCTGAGAGTAATGTCTGAATTGTGACGGTGTCCAAAAAGGTCAGGCCTGACCTGTGTGCCCCCCTGCCCCCGTTCTCAGACACCCCAACTTTTCCTCAGGACTGGAGAGGGTGTCTTTTGGTCAAGCTCATCTTCTCACAGATCTCCATGTGGCTGACCCCACAGGCCTTAAAACCATGCAGACTAGTCCCCCGCCACCCCCCAGTCTGGTTTTATCCACCACACTGTGATTCCTTCACAGTTTTTCTCATTCTGCCCCACCTCGGTTAGATGATGGTGTGTGTGAGGCCCTAGTCTTCTGTGCTGTGTCCCTTAGACACACCCTTGACATTCTGCTTGGAGATTGATCCTTTGTGTTGTTTGCTGGTCTTTCTTTGGATTGATAAAAACAGTATATGCTCATTATAAAAGTTCATGAGACCAGAGATACGATTGCAAATCTCTGTCCCATTCTAAATTCTTTCTTCCCAATTCTTGCTCCTGCGGACAAGCTTTGATGCTGGTGCCTCATGTCTCCTTCAGGATATGGTCTGTGCACTTCCAAGCCTGGGGTTACACACCTTCTG